GGGATGTCATGCTGTGAGCCCGGCCTGGGGAAGGAGCCGTCACCTGCAGCACGGCGGCTGCCGTGGTAATCCGGTGCTGCTCCCTTTGCTGTCACCACAGCAGGTTCCTCTGGTGATGTCCCCGCACCGTGCCGTGGGCACGGCTGCCAACACGCCAGCTAACTATGAGTTCCTTTTATTAAGGAGTTTAGAAAGTCCACATGTACAGCATTGGACATCACTCACACACGACCTAGACTTCACGGCACTGCTACACACCATGACCCAGCCCAGGGCTTCGCCGGGAAGAAACACGGCCAGGTCCCGGACCCCCCGGCCGCCCCTGCCCACCCGTCTCTGGGGAGGTGTCACTGTGGACGGGTTTAGCCTGATCCAGGGCTGCGGAGCGACGCGTGCGCTTTTGGGAATAATCCTGGGAAATCCTGCATCTCAGCGTGGATTAAATACCTCTCGTGCAATTCAAAACAAAGTCATTAGGGAGTCCTGGGTGACACGGGCAGTTACACAAAGGGTGTGCTACCAACAAACTGCACAATGTCCCCTCCCTGGCACGGAAAAACACCAGTGGAGGGGTCCAGTTAGGGGACGAGCCTTCCTGCCCGGGGCACGTGGCTCTGTGTGCCCTCTTGTCCTGAAGGCAAGTGCTAGAAAACCCAGCTACAGCTAATCTACTGAAATAAATGAACAAAAAGTAAAGACGGGCATAGTGCTCCCCATCTGTGCAGGACCCTTTCTGGAGGGGTCCGGTGGCGCGCAGGAAGCCCCTCGGGAGCTGCTGGGGGCTCCTGCTCTTGTGCTGGCTGGGAAATGCCACCACCGAGCTCCCCCAAATCCCATCACTGGAGAAACCCATCCCAGCCAGCTGCTCTGGGCAGGGACGGAGGGGCTAGAGCTGGTACCTGTGCTCGGAGCTCATCCTCACCCGAGGCCTCCGAGGAATGTCCCTGGCAGAGGGGAAAGCTGCGGTGATCCCCAATGCATTGTTTGTCCCTGCTTCCCCAGCAGGACAGACAGACAGGGACTTGCCCGGCAGGCAAAAGGGCTCGTCCAGCACAGGGTCCAAGGTGGGGAAGGCTTAAAAAGAGGAGAAGCACGCAGGGAAGTACAAATCTGCCGCAGCCAGGGAGATGAGCCTTTGATCTCCCAGTGCCTTAAGCCCTGCTGGAAATGGGGACGGCGGGAGCTTTCCTCCCCTCCTCAGGCAGTCTGTCCATCCAGCGGTGTTTCTTGGGGCCAGAGCCTGGTGCGGGGGCTCTGCTCCCCGTTGCTGCTATAGCACAGGCAGAAAATCATGTAAAGGGTGTCAGGGTCTCGGCTGTCCCCCCCCCGTTCCTACGCAGCCCGCTCAGGCTCGGGTTTTTTTGGTTTGTTTTTTTTTAACAAAATCCCCCATTTGAGTCCTTCTAGGGAGCCAGAAGGAGAAATCAGCCCCGTGCCCCGTGGCGGCTCCTCCCTGGGTCGGCTGGCGCGAGGCATCACCTGCTGCCCGGTTATCAGGGCCCTGCAGATGCTAAGCCCCACTTGGGGCTTCTTTTTGCAAAACCTTAATGGGATTTGAAGAAATGAAAGGCTTTGATTATCTGCAGGTGCCGAGCCAGAGCGTGGCTCATCCTGGGTGAAAATGAATGCGGGTCCCCAGGCTGGGAGCGAGTGGCGGGGGGGCGCGCCCGGGCGGGGGGGGGGGGGGGGGGCCGGCGACGG